TACGACCTAAAAAGAAATCAAGGGAAGTGTGTTGGCAGATCATTTGGCACATCAGGCCGTGGATGATTACCAGTCTATGAACTTCGAATTCCCAGATGAGAACATCATGTTGGTGACTGACTGCAAAACACCTGGACCTGATGAAGGACCTAAGGAGGGATCCCGATGGTCTATATATTTTGATGGAGCTTAAAACTCATTGGGTAATGGCATTGGCTCCATGATCATATCTCCTGAAGGCTATCATACTCCATTCACCGCCCGATTATGTTTTAACTGCACCAACAACATGGTGGAGTATGAAGCGTGCATCATGGGTCTTCGAGCAGCTATTGATCTAAGGATTAAGTTCTTAAGTGTATTCGGAGATTCCGCTCTCGTGATCAGTCAGATCAAAGGCGAGTGGGATACGAAACACCCAAATCTTATTCCTTACAAAGAGTATGTGTTGACGTTGCTTCCGCACTTCGAGAAGATAACCTTTGAACACTTCCCCGGAGAGGAGAATCAGTTGGCGGATGCGCTAGCTACTATGTCTTCTATGTTCAAGGTCAGATGGGACAATGAGGCTCCCCAGATTACCATTGAGAGGTTGGACGAACCTGCACATTGCTGTGACATTGAGGCTGAAGAGGTAGCAGATAAACCCTGGTTTCACGAGGTAAAAAGGTATCTTGAGGCTCAAGAATACTCTGAGGGAGCATCTGTTAATGATAAGAAGTTTTTGAGAAGGTTCGCGGCGAAGTTCTTCATCAGTAATGGTATCCTTTACAAGCGTAACCTGAAGTAGTGAAAAACACAAGAAGGGGGGGTTGAATTGTAAAACTGAAAATCAATGCAATGAACAAGATATTTTTATCCTGGTTCGTTTGATCTCAAACTACTCCAGTCCACCCGTCAAGGTGATTTCGCCTCTCTCCAACGAGGTCTTAATCCACTATATTCAACTGAATATTACAAACTGCTTTAACAACTGCTAAAGCCTTCTTGATGCAAACCACAACCCGGTTTGTCAAGGAAATGCTTTCTTACAAAGAAGATAAATCTAAGTGTGTGAATGTTTTCTACAAAACTGTATCACAACTGTGATGTATACACAACTTTAAGCTTATGAAACTAGATTGCTAAAACAAAGATTGAGTAAGAGGATGTAGTGTTTAGCAAACTGGGAGAAGGAAGATTATGATCAGCTTTTAGGCGTGTAAGATGTTGGAGAGCATTAGCCAATTCAATCTTCATAGTCTTGTTTATATAGCACTGAGATTCTTGAACGTTGGAGCAATATTCTTGATTCAATGCTAATAACAAACTTTCCTTATTGAGCAGATCTTGTCTGGAATGAGGCCGTTGGTAATAATACGCTTTCAATGCACAGTACCGTTGCTTACTTAATGCATGTTCTGGCTTGGCTCATTCTGACTCTGCTTAGCTGCTGATGAACTGTTGTTTTCTTTATCAGAGTGTTGAGCGCAGTTCTGTTCATCAAACTTCAGCATACACGAGAGTTGATCTTCTGATTCTGGTATTCTGATATAGCAACTTCTGATGCTGATGTCAAGAACCAAATTTCTGATGCTGATTAGGTGTGATCTTGCTTATACCTATCAGAGTATCTGCAAATTAGAACGTAATAATTTAGGCAGCAAATAGTTCATACATGAATCATATAAATAATATATCTTTTCATTTTGTTATCATCAAAACTTAAACATAGGGTAGTAGATTCAAATATTGTTCTAACAATCTCCCCCTTTTTGATGATGACAAAAACTGGATATTTTTAATTGAAAATAACGTGAAAAGGTATCAGAGATATGTATCAGAGTAAGAGGTTTATCAAAGATAAGGGATAAGAGTTGAGAGATACTCCCCCTGAGTTTATTGCTTCCCTTTTTGATTCCAAGAGTTCTTCAGGATCAGAACTTTTTTCCTTTCTTTGAACATCAGAGTATCAGAGTCTTTGACTATCAGAAGCTTTAGATCAGCATATCAGAGCGGAGCTTCAGATCAGCGTATCAGAGCTTTTCTTATCAGAGCTTTGCTTTGGGTCAGAGTATCATAGCGGATCAGAGTATCAGAGCTTTAGTCTTCAGAGTATCATGGTGCTTTCTTGTACCTGTAGACTTAAGCAAAATAGAAAACATTTTCAAGGTATAACAGAGTTAGAATGTTCGAGAATTTCTGTCTTAGTAATCCGTTATTATTTAAAATATCATTCTTGTTCTCCCCCTTTTTGTCAACAATTAAAAAGTGTAAGTGATGTGCTAAAACGATTAAGATCAGAAAAACTTGTCATATTAAAAGGTTCAGAATTAAACAAAACATATTAAAAGTAGTACATCAGATACTTAAGGAAAACATGAAAATGACATGAATGAAAAAACTAAGGTTGGGGAGGAAAGCGTGTGAACAGGTTCTCCAGCATGGCTTTGATCTGATCAGCAGTCTGATTCTGCTTGTGTACCATGCTGACAACAGTGTCAATCTTTCTATCCTGCACATCCATCCTTTCTTTCATTTTCTGGTCGTTTTCATCCATCCTCTGCTGCAGACGCATGTCATTCAGCTTCAGCTCTTCCAGAGTCTGCCTGTCCAAGGCAGCTTGAGAAGCATCAGAAGCAGGAAGCTTCTGAGAGCTTTCTGCAACATCTTCTGCTTGACTTGCTTCAGCTTGAATGGTCTTGTCTTCTTCTGGTTGCACCTTTGAAGCTAGCTGTTTCTCAGACCAAGGTTCACTATCCAGAGGGAGCACAGCTTCCTGAGGCAGCTGACTTTCAACTTCCTTCAGCAGCTTGATGAAGTTCTGTTGTGCCTGCTCATAGTTGATATCCTGCAACTTGAGGGCTTCAGTATGTACCCATATTCTGAATTGTGACCAGAGCTGGTCAGAAGCAGCTGGGTCAATTAATCCAGGACAGAATTGCTTCAAAGAAGCAATCCACTGCTGCACACCTGTTTCAAAATTCATAATACCAGAGCCAACATCTGGTTGTTTTGGTTTTGGGATGGCTATTTTATGTTTCAGATCAGCAAGACGGTCAAGACTGGTTAAGTCTATGAAGGTCCTGCTGGGGTTTTCGGTGGTTTGCTTGGCAGCTGTTTGTTTTGAAGATGGAGTGGGAGAATCAGAAATTATGATTGGACTGTGTGGTGTTTTGGGAGTATTGGGTGGTGTAGATTCTGGTGAGGATGGCAACTGGGCCATTGTGACTGTTGTTCCACATGGCAGCTGGATTGCCAGAGGTGATGGTTGAGGTGAATGAGGTTCAGAAGGTGGAGGAGAAGGAGTTTCAGAGTGATGAAACTCGGGTCGAGGTGATGGTGGATGAATTTCTGGTTGAGGAGAGGGAGACGGAATTGCTGGTTGAGGAGGAATTGTTGGAATTTCTGGTTGTTCAGGGATGAGAGGTTCTTCTGGAATGGATGAGAGTGGTTGTTGTTGTTCTGGTTCTTCAGCAGATTGCTGTTGTTCTGGTTGTGGAGGAGGGACAATTTATGGTTCAGAGTTTGGATTGGAGGAGTGATCAGAAGTGTGTTGATCAATGTCAGACATCACTTTGTCAATTGCTGATGTTGTTGATATTGTTGGTTTGGGATGTTTGGTTCTGGGTCTTCTGAGTTGTAATGCCTCAGAAGGGTCATCTTCTGGTTCAGTTTCATCTATTGTTGGGATGGGGATTGAGATTCTATGAGAGGTTGGAGGTGGAATAGATGCTGGAATAGTAGAAGAATTTAAAACAGAAGCAGCAGATAAATTACCTCTTTTCTTGGGTGTCTTCTGGGATGATCCTTCTGATGGTGCCTTCCTCTTCTTCGTCTTCTTCAGAGTCACTTCTGGTTGAGGTTGATGCAGATCTTTGATCTTCAGATTTGGATATGTGCCATCAGCTTTGCACGCGTCCATATATTTGAGAACCACCACTGGCTTGGATTCTATCTGAGAGAATAAAGTAAAGTCACTCAGTGGAACTCTTCTGCTGGTGATATCAGCAATAGGAGTAGCGCTGGGTTCCTTTTTGATATTCTCTATCAACTTCATTTTCTTCAAGTTCTTCGCGTTCAGAGGCTTCCCAACTGTTGGTTCAATGGTGCTTAACTCTTGAGCTTCTATCAGATGTTCTATCAGCCTATTCTCTGTCAGAATATCTGATATCAACCTTCCAAAGGGAATCCAATCCCTCTTTGTTCTTTCTTCTTCCCTGGTTTCCTTCACGCTTGTTCTGAGGTGGTTGAACAGAAGATGAGCCAAGTTGATTTTTACCTTCTGATTGATAAAGTAGATCAGAAACTGCTGATCCACATTTATGTAATCAGGGGAACTAGTTGGCTTCCTATGGTTGAAGCACCCCAGAATCACTACAAGAAAATTAGTGTTTAACGACACAAAAATTGCGACAGTTATGTGATAACTGTCGTAATTGACATATAGAGACAGTGTTTACGACAGTTGACACCAATCGTCCCTAATATTTATTTCGCGACGGTATATTTAACCATCATAATATTATTATTATGACGGTAAAAAAACCGTCGGCCCCCATTTAACACTTTTAACATTGATTTTTCACCAACAACTAGTCACGACGGTAAAATTAACCGTCCTAAAAGGCATATCACGATGGTAAAGCACCCGTCGCACCCTTAAACCTTTCACGACGGTAAAATTATCCGTCCTAAAATTCATTTCACGACGGTAAAACAACCGTCGCACCCAAAACCTTTAAAAATTCTCATGGGCACGACGGTAAAACACCCGTCGCAGTAAAAAAAGTTAAAAAGCTCATAAAACATCGATTAGAATGTTTCTTTAACAGTATATTGGAATTCCTTGAACAAGTTATGTTTCCGCGGCATCCTCGACGAATCAATCAGCGAGGGAACCCATTTCCTCATCCCATGGGTTCAAAAACCCTACATCTTCGATATCAAAACCCGCCCCCATACTTTCTCATCATTATCCGGCACCAAAGATCTTCAAATGGTTAACCTAACTCTCTGAGTCCTCTCTCGTCCCGACACCGCGAAACTCCCTGTCATCGTTCAAAACCTCGGTCTCGAATACGACGAGAAAGTCCTCCCTTCGATCGGTAACGAAGTTCTGAAATCTGTTGTGGCGCAATTCAATGCTGATCAGCTCCTTACTGAACGTCCTCAGGTTTCTGCCCTTGTTAAGGAGACTCTTGTCCGACGTGCTAGGGATTTTAACATCCTTCTCGACGATGTGGCGATCACACATTTGTCTTTGGTAATCAAGACACGACCGTGTGTGGAAATAATGAAACTAAAACAAGTAGTAATGTTTATGAAGCGAATGTTTATGAATTGCTGAGGAATTTGAGTGTGTTGGCGCCGAAAAACGGTGGATTTTCTGTTGGGTTTGTTGAGAGGAAGAATGTAACGGTGTATGGTTTGGCTCAGTGTTGGAAGTTTGTTACTGGTGGTAACTGTCGGAGATGTTTGGAGGATGTGGTTACTAGGATTGGTTCTTCGTGTAGGAAGAAAGAAGATGGACGGGCTTTGAATTCTGGTTGTTATTTGAGGCATTCACCACACAAGTTCTATAACAATTCAAGTAGTAATGATGTTGCTGCTGGAAATCGCGGTGAGCTATGATCTCTTTTTCTTTCGGTTAGCCATGAATTGTGCATAGTCACGGTTGTAATCTGATTTCGTTGAAACTTTGAAGTATTGATTTCATCAAAATTACAGTAGCATGATTATGCCAAACTTACCATTTTGAACTTGTTCATAATCTTGAATTTTTGTTCATTGTATTTTTTGTTAATGTAAAGTAGTTTAAAATATCAGAATCATGGTTTTAAAGTTCGGTTGCGATCGCTGATGCAGTTGCGGGTGTTGTGACATGGTTGCCGCAATGCGCATTGTGGTCGTTGCAGTGTGAATTTTGATTGAGGGGTTTGAAATAGACCAAAAACATTTAATCTTAAGATTTTTCATTACATAGTGAGGTTTTGAAATTTTTAGTTTTGGTGAAAATACTTGAAGAAACTTGAGCGACATTGTTAGATGCGGTTCATAATATAGTCGGACGCGTGGTTTTAAATCACACTGCAATTGCAGTCCAATACGGTTGTGGAAGCTAATGCATTAGCAATATTACAGCCGCAATTGCGTTGCGGACCGCAATTTATAACCATGGTCAGTATTATGATAAGAACATGATTGAAGCTTGAAACTGTGTTTTAGGACACCGAAAAATGGCTATAATATTGGCTGCATCTTCTGCTGTCTTGGCTCTTCTTTTGGTTACTGCAACAATGGGTTTCTGTATAAGAAAGAATGTAATGAGGAAAAGAAGAGGTACACATGTTTAATATTTAAAGACTGGAATTACTTTTTTCCAAAATACTTGTGCTAAAAGTTATTGCTATGTGTGTGTGTTTTTTTACTAGAGAGAAAACAATTTGGGACACTTTTGGATACAGTGAATAAATCCAAGGTAAATGTTCCATATGAAATTCTTGAAAAAGCAACAAATTACTTCAATGATGACAATAAGCTAGGACAAGGAGGATCAGGTTCAGTTTATAAAGTATATTCTGATCTTATCTTATTGTAACTTCTTACAACCTTATTGTTGTTAAGTGCTTATAGATTTTTCCTTTCATTTTAGGGAGTTATGCCAGATGGTAATACTGTGGCTGTTAAAAGGCTTAGTTTTAACTCGACGCAATGGGTGGATCATTTCTTCAATGAGGTTAATTTGATTAGTGGAGTTCATCACAAAAATGATGAGAGAAGAAAGAATACTTACACGTCGGAGTCACTCCGCCAACGCTTCAATCGTGATTCAGGTATGCATTCTTAATTCCTCATTCTTCTATTATTTCCAATTCACACGTATTTTCTATTGATTCGGTACAATTCAATTATTGAAGTTTGTTGTTGTGATTGGTGTTGAAATAGAGGGAATGCTTCAAGCTTGAAGTCGCGATGATGCCATTGATGATGAAGGTTGACGAAGCTGTGTAGAATATTGTAGAGAGGTTGTGTATAGTTGGCTATTAGGATGGGATGGCTTTAGATTTGAATGAAACTGAGAGTTAGTTGCTGATTGTAATTTGAGTTAGCTAATTGTTAGTGTGAAAAAGAGTTAAAATCGTCAATATTATTAGGGCCTGACTGTTAGGAATATCAATTGAAATGGATAACTGTTAGCTTAAAGTTGTTAGAAATTGTTATGTGAGGGATTAGGTTTGTGAAGTGGATATTTAAATTGACTTGAATCTATGTGATTAACTGAATCAGTTTTGCTATGCATTGGCCTTTTTTAATTTTCTGAATGAGTGGACTATTTTTTATGGTATTCCTGAACCGATTTTATGTGTTGTAGGGTTGTTAACTGATATAATGATTGGTATTATGTCTGTTGCATTCACTTATTTTTGGTATTCGAGCTGAAGGAGAGAGTGACGCTGCTATATTGATTTCCGAGGCTACTGCTGCGGCTGGGATGGGGTTGGTTGAGCTTAGGAGGATTGAAGCTTCCAGGGAAGTTGCTGGAACGCTTGCGAAATCGCCTAATGTTACTTATCTTCCTGGTGGAAACAACATGATGATGGCTCTTAATCCTGCTGGTTGATTATCACGGTAATCATCTTTTCCTCACTTTTCAAATTTTTATTTATTTATTTATTGAGTTTGGTTTTTCATTGCGGTTATAGTCATGAATTGAGGCACACTGCAGTCCATATATCAAATTTGAACTGATAGCATCTTGCTCTTTTTCGAAAATGCAGGATTGAAGAAGCTGAAGCACAGTGTGCTTTGTTGAACTCTGAATCATTATGCGTAAGCACTTGTCTAATTTGTAATTATCAGTTATTTTTGGGATACTAGTACTATTGCTGTTTGCTAATATCATGATTGTTGTCATTCATTGTTGAGAATTATAGGATGGATGTTTCAGTTCAGATTCAGATATATTTCTCTTTGGTGCAAGGACAGTGTACAGGGAAATCTGCCTTGGTGAGTATATCATTTGGTTTCGTTTTTAAATATTATTGTTGAATATATTTTTGTGCTAATTGTATTTTTCGTATAAGTTCTAAGGATTTTTTTGTACTTTCATATGACTTACAAGAATTTTTTTTTATTAATGAGTTAGGAGATGGTGGATATGTTGTATGTTATGAGATGGCAGAGATTGAAAATAAACTTGGATTGGGACGGGATTCATTGGTAAATTTCTGATTGATGTTTTAACATAAGAGTCACAATGCTTTCTTAGACGATCTTTCGTTGTTTCTTGTCAATTCAAAATTCAAGGGTATTGAGTTCTTGTTCTGGTGAAAATCAGTAACCGAGTAACCCATGATCTTCAAATTGCTCTATCTTTGCTTCTCGGCAGTGACTATCATCAAGGAGTTCATGGTTTAGGTTCGGTAAGTCCTTAAACACATCCTTCATGATCATATTACTTTTTGCCTTTTCACCTCTTGTTGTTTAGCAGGGTTGAATATTTACATATTATATGGTTGCTTGTGCTTTTGCATGATTGTTTCCATGGTTGTATTGTAGGAGTTAGCTTGTCAGATAGTAAAATCAATTGGGGAGAAAGATGTTCTAAAAAAATTTGCTTCTGAAGGACTTGGATGGGTGAAAAAAAGAAAAGGTATATATACCCTTGTCATATCTATATTGCATTTTAGTTCCATTTTGCAACTTTTTTTAATCATTTTTTCTATCTTTTTTGTTTATGCAGGAGCTAAAAATAATATAGGAAAGGACGATACCATTTTACAAGTGATTGATGCTTATTTGAAGCCAAAATGCCACTCAGCTGATTCAGACTTTGTGCTAAAGTATGTTATTTAATTCATTGCTTCCAGTTCCTTTACTATACTCAATATTGATTGGAATTTAGAATATACTAATCAGAACCTACGAAAGCTATATGTTAATGGTAAAGTTTATCTGCTATAGTTCTGAATCTGGTTACTAATTAGATACGCACTTAAAATAAGAATTTGCAAAAATTTCTGTAGGGCTCATTCTTAGTATCTATTTCAACGTACTAAGCTCCATCATATATGCGCTGTATACTTCGAATGGCCTTCGGAGAGAACAGGTACTTTATCTAATTTCAAATGCTTATTCTTGTAACTCAAGAATTTGTGCTCTGAGTCATGTCATTAGTCTTAGTCAAGAATTGGTATATGCTACCTCTTGGATGAAAATTTGGAAGTTGTTTGAAATGCTGATTGTTGGTTCATGAAATAGATGGATATATCCTTCCATGTATAGTCGAAAGGGATTTACGACGATTTGCCAATTTGCGATCAACTTCGTCTGAACTTGGGTTGAACCTTCCTTTACATGAGGTACTGCTAACTCTATTCCAATGGAAGACAGGTATATTAATTTGACGCATTTAAAGTTAAATTTTATGAGTATTATTTTAAAGATTATTATTTTAATACCTTTTTTTAGGGATTGGAATCACCCGCTGATGGTAGACGTTCATCTGAGTCTAGCTATCGTATTGGAGATAATGGAACTTCAGGGGGGACAAATTAGACTTTGCTATGATCGAGATAATTAGATTGTGAACTTTCTCATGTATTTTTGGCATAATGATACTTATTATTATAAGATTAGGAATTGATATATTTTGGGTTTTTTGTACTACTTGACATGATTATGGAACTCGCATTTTACATGATTATGGAACACACATTTTTTTGGATATTATAATGCTTATTTGATGTTAAATATTTTTTATTGAAATTATTTTTACTATATTACAAAGTGATAGAAAATAAAACAAAAAATAATACTATAAATAAATATATTAAAGAAGAAATAATTTAAAGAAAAAAATAACACAAAAAAAAACTATATTTAAAATTTTTTACATAGATAATAATTTAAATAAAAAATATATATAATAGAAAAATAAAAAAAAATCAAGACATAAACAAAAGTCATGGCGACAGTACCGAACCGTCGTAATCAACAAAAGTCATGACGGTATCGAACCGTCGCCATAAACAATTTAATCAATTTCAAAAGATATTCACGACAGTATCGAATCGTCGCCATCAATAATTAAAAGAAACTCAAAAGATAGTCACGACGGTATCAACCCGTCGTAAACTTGAACGACAGTTTTTGTAACCGTCGCGAAATAGGTTGGGGACACACACTTCTGCGACGGTAAAGCAACCGTCGTGGAAAGCAAATTGCGACGGTTTTAACCGTCGTAATCTACAAAAATACCTGTCGCAATCTGCCAATTTTCTTGTAGTGAATTATCTTCGCCCAAACTCTGTGATGATCCTTCAGATCTTTGATCTTGCTGCTGGGCACCCCATGGGTGGAAATCCTTTCAGCTATGACGCCCACGTCAGCACATCTCTCAGCCATATCAATACAGCGGACGCCACCGCCACTGTAACCTATTAACTTTGCTATATGATCCTCAGTGATCACAATCTTCTTCCCCATGATGTAGGAGGTGACTTGATGCGTTGAAGCTGTCGCATGAATCCAGAACTCCTTCACTAACATAGGGAATGTTGGTCCAACCAACCTGTCAAAATACCTTTCCCATTTCTGTGCCCTAACTTCTTCAGTTAGGTCAAAACTGTTTTCCTTCAAGCTTCCAAAATCGATGATCAATTCAGATAACACCTCAAGATTCTTCACAGGAGTGAGGAGTGTTCTGAAGGGCACTTGATACTGTTCAAATGATGCTTTCTTCTGAGGACCTGCAGAAGCACTGCTGGAGGTTGCCATGTTCACACTAAAAGATTTTGAGAAGAAACTGAGAAAAAGAGTTTGCAAGAGATGAACACAGAAAAATGCAGAGAGTGCTTGAGAAAAAGTGAGAAACTGTAAAAGATTAGAATGAGAAGTTAACGAGTTTAAATAGAGTTCAGAATATTTTGAAATTGTAAACGTTTTTAAGAGAGAGAAATAAAATCATGATTACATTTTAAAAGCATGATTACTTTTCATTTAATGCTTGCTGATTTTGGGGGATTTGAGAAAGATACTTAAAAACGGTTACCAGACATGTGTCTCAATGCACCCAATCAACATTTTGCCTTCTCAGAAGCGTGCACGCGTTCTGCTTCAGAGATTTGCTGATGATTGGATGACACTTGTTTGATGTAGTGATCAGCACGTCTGTCTTTGAGCTTAGACTCTCAGATCTTTAGACTTGCATCTGATACAATCTGCATGTTCTATCTTTCTGAAAGGAGATTGATAAGAAGTTCACAGAAAACAAATACATTCTGAAGATAAATATATGGAATTAAAGCATTTTCACTATGGGCAACTTTTCATGCTGAGATGTTTCAGAATGAAATTGAACCTATCTTCAGAAAGGGGTTTAGTGAAGATATCAGCCCATTGATGGTCTGTATCTATAAATTTTAAATTCAAAATTCCTTTCTGAATATAGTCCCTAATGAAATGATGTTTTATTTCTATATGCTTAGCTCTAGAATGTAAAATGGGATTCTTACTTAAGCAAATAGCAGAAGTATTATCACAGAGTATAGGAATGTTACTCTCAAAAATCTGGAAGTCTTCAAGCTGACTTTTCATCCAGAGCATTTGTGTGCTACATCCTGCTGCTGCTATGTACTCAGCTTCTGCTGTTGATAGCGCAATTGTTGATTGCCTTTTGCTGGACCAAGAGATCAGATTTTCTCCCAGAAACTGGCAGCTTCCAGAAGTACTTTTACGCTCCACTCTGTCTCCAGCAAAATCAGCATCGCAGTAGCCTACTAAACTGTAATCACTAGATTTTCTATAAAACAAACCCAGATTAGTAGTACCTTTCAGATACGTGAAAATTCGCTTAACAGCTGTTAAGTGAGATTCTCTAGGATCTGATTGGAATCTAGCACAAATACAAACACTGAATAATATATCAGGTCTCGAGGCAGTCAGATAGAGGAGAGAACCAATCATACCTCTGTAGGCTTTCTGTTCTACATTTTTGCTTACCTCTTCTATTTCCAGAATGCACGTGGGATGCATTGGAATCTTTGATGGCTTACATTCTGAGAGGTCAAATTTCTTCAGAAGATCTCTGATGTATTTGCTCTGATGAATGTAAGTTCCCTCTGGAGTTTGATTGATTTGAATTCCTAGAAAGAATTTCAGTTCCCCCATGAGGCTCATCTCAAATTCTGCCTGCATACACTTAGCAAATTTTCTTCCAAGAGAAGGATTAGTAGAGCCAAAAATAATATCATCAACGTAAATTTGACAGACTAAGATGTCATTCTTAACTGATTTACAGAATAAGGTAGTGTCCACTTTCCCTCTGGTAAATTCATTTTCTAACAGAAAGTTACTTAGCCTTTCATACCAAGCTCTGGGAGCTTATTTCAGACCATATAGTGACTTATTTAGTTTGAAAACATGTTCTGGATGTTTTGTATTTTCAAAACCAGGGGGTTGGTGCACATAGACCTCTTCTTCTATATAACCATTTAAGAATGCACTTTTGACATCCATCTGATACAGAGTGGTGCCTCTATTAACAGCAAATGAAATTAAAAGTCTGATAGATTCTAACCTGGCGACTGGAGCAAAGGTTTCTGTATAGTCTATCACCTC